AGTTAAAGCTATTTATATTTTTATAAAAATATTTGACTTTTGACTTCTGTTTTTTTTTAAAGTTAAAGTTTTTAGCTTCTAAAAAACATAAGTTTTTAACTTTTTTTGTAACTTCTACTTTTTTTAAAAGCAAACATCTAAATGAACTTAAAATGAAAAATGTTTTTTTTTTTTTAAAAATAGCTTTTGAAAAAAAAAATCATCCAAACGGACCCTTAGTCATCAAGTCTCAATATCTTTTAAAAATTAAAAAATAAATAATTAAAATTATATTATTTTATTAACAAAATTATTTAAATATGTATTTTAATTAAAATAAATAATATAATATAATATAAATCAACCTGTAAACTTCTATAAGCTAGAGTTTGTAAAAGTAATCTTATAATCTGTCTTTCAAACAAACTTTTTTAAATTTCTGAACCTATTTTATTTTATTGAATATACTATGCTAAAACTAACTGGACATAGGCCGGACCGAAAACCTGTGATAGGACTGGCCCATTTATCCCCCTAAAATTTACTTTATCATCTCAATATTATTAATGTGACATGCGCCCCATTTTTTTTTTTAATTTTAACATGAGTACACTACATTAATCACCCTTAGGCCTTGCGTTAAACCTTTAAAAATTGTACTCAAAAAATAAATTGAACTTCAAGAAATCTAGCAAATAATAATAATAATAATGTAAAGATTACCAGAAAGCACTGGTTGGACACTGTTAAACAACTTGGAGACTGACAGCAAAGGTGATAAATTCCCAACTGCTTCAGCCACCTCTGGGTTTGGAGTGAAAACGTAAGCAAGTTTTTATAAATTAACGAATATAGAACAAAATATTAAGCTTTAACATTATTTTAAAAAATTACTCAAGAGAAACTTCTCATATAATTTTTATTATAAAAATATAATATGTTATATTTACAAACTATATTATATATTTCGGGGAATACATTCTTAAGTGAGTGTATTTGCCGGTGTATATTGTGTAGTTTATAAATAAAAATTTATAAACATAACTCTCATTATAAAAAAATAGTTAATGCTTTTGTGCTATATCTTTCTCTCCATATATACAGGAAATATCTTTTGACTTCAGGATAAAATTAAAAAAAATTATTTTTCATCTCAATTGTTGATTTTTATTTATTTAATGACTGTAATTTATTTAGAAATAATAATAAATTAATTGTTATAACTCAAATTATAATCATTAATTAGATGAATAGAATTCAACGGTTAAGATAAGGAGGTGGAAGGGGTGTGTGTGGTGAGATCCTTTGGCACTGGTGTGTATATATATATAACACAAAATCACTATATTTTAATTTTTTTATGAGACATATTTTGAAGAAAAATTAGATTGTGACAACATTAATTACCCAGCTGCAGCAAAGAAACCAAGGGCTATCATCATTTCCCAGCCATTGATGTTGAGGCTGCAAAAATGATATTAACAATAGATTATTTCAATATGATGAAGCAGGTGGATCATGTCCCTTAATACGAATTTAGAAACAAAAGTAAAAATAAGAAAGAGATCGTAAAAAAATAATAATGATAATAATAATAATGAAGTAAGTTACCATATGGCCAGAGCATCAATAGAAACCTCAGCATTTTTCATGTACCCCGTTAGAAGAATCAAAACTGTATTGTACCAGATCTCAAGACTGTAAAACGAACCACATAGCTTGATGTTAGTACAAAAATTTCTTTTTTACAACAATTTTTTGAGCCTCTTTTTTTTTTTTTTCCTACGAGTGAAATCTAGTAAACAACTGAAGTATAAGGTCATTAATAATTACTAATTGGTATGTTGTTTCTGCTACAATATTTATTAATGAGGAGATGTAACATTTGTCAATAGGTTCTAGTCTAAGTTATACATAATTCACGAAACTGATGATGAAAATTGCTTGAATTCTTACCATAACATAGCCCCAGAAGACAGGGAAAGCTTGATAACAGGCCAGAGATCTTTGAAGGCCAAAAATGAGAAACCCAACCATGTATCTGGGCATTTCTTTATGATAAACATAAGCTGGCCCAAATTTGGTATCCAATATGCAAAAATTGTTGATGTCATTGCCCCATTGAGCCCAAACTTGTACTTAACAGTTAAAAGCCATGACAGAAAAAGGTGAAATGAAATTGAAACTGCTGCTAAGTAGGCAATAATCTTGTTCTTGCTCTGTGCTTGTAGGAACATTTGGCAAGTGAAAGACACAGAGAAAGCAAAGACCACACCTATGGACCAGAGAGAAATGCTTCCTGCAACTTGAGCAATACTTTTATCTTGGCCTAGAGCCTCTAAAATTGGGGTGGTAAAGATGTAAATAGGTAGAAGAAAAATTGAGGTCAAGAACAAGACTATCCATGATCTTTGAAGATACACTCCAAGCATGTCATATTTTTTTGCCCCATATGCTTGTCCACATAGAGTTTCCAATGCACTAGCCATACCCAGCTACAATTTTCAATTAGAAAACAACAATTTGAACTTTGTAAATTGTAGATATCACATGCAAGATAATTAAACAGAAATTAAGTTAAGTAAAGAGAGAACTAAAAGGAAGAGGAGCACTTACTAGTACACCATTTGCAAACCTTACTAGGACAGTCATCACAAGAGCATAAGCAGCTAGTTCAGTGGATCCAATATGCCCAATGAAGATTTGACTAATTACTGTGATTCCAAAAGTTGAAAACCTTGTGAATATAGCAGGGCCTGCCACCACCCACATCTTCTTGCTCTCTTTCCATACCCTTTCCCTCAGGGACTCTTCCTCTTCAACACTTTGATCTGAATTGTTTTGCTGATGCAAAAGCTTCTCCTTTAGCCTGTCTCCCATTTCCACTACTACTATGGAGTTGCCAATATTTTCTTGACATGGAAGATAATTCATATATTGCAGTAGGTCATATAAATAACTAAACCATAGGCCATTAGGAAAAAAAGAAAAGAATCTCAAGGGGCACCTAAGACCTTTTAGACCATTTGCTTTTGTCACAAACACAATCTATTAAGTACAAAATTATTATTATTTAATTTATTAATAATTATAACTCCATGTTTAATTTATTTTATGCACCTCTCGTATAAAGTTGTTCTGGACAAACATAATGCTCCCTTTTTTCAGCTATGTGAAATGAATTTTACCCACCTTCAGGTAAATATTCCTTTCTAAATAAAAGGTTAAGTTACTAGTTCCGCTAGATCAAACATTAATTCTCCATAACAAAATTTTTGTTGCATAAGAGGTATCCAACTGGATACATCTTTTTTTCAAAAAGGAGAAAAAATTTCAATATAGTGGAATTTTTTTTTTTCAAAAATAATGAAAACTTTTTCAAATAAAAAAAATGTACCAAATTAAATATATCTGATGCGCCAAAGATATTTCACTTCTCCATCTTTCTATTGTTTGTCTTTTGGCTAGTATCCACTGTTTTATTTTGTAAGAGATGAAACATATATCCTTTCGTAGAGATTATAAAAAGACTCTGTAATGGTAACTTCATAATAATTATCTTGGTATAGGAAATAGCTATGGCAGGCAGGACCACGACCACACGTCCAATAGAGGGAAAGGATTGAAAATAAGTTTTTTGGCACCACCTCAGTGTTGGCACTAGAAACATCACCACTGGTGGTCCTAATTTTATTTTATTTTTATCTTTTTTATTTTGCAGATCATATACATGCACCCAGTGAATGTAATTATACTGTTATTTGGTGTAAAACAAAGTTCGGTGGCTATTTTATTTGGAAAAATAATAATAACAAACGAAGAAATGGACAATTCAAATTGAGATATGTATGACGAGGTTAGAAGCCAAAGGGCAAGTGCACTTACGTCAGCGATAATGTTCAGTATAAGAGTAATGTCGCGCGCGCTCTCTCTCTCTCTATAGATGGGGAAATGTGTGTTATTAGTAGGTACTATTGTGAGCCTCTGATTTATTGTAATTTTTTTTTTTCTTAGTAGTTTGGGTTTGGGCCCATGAATAACTATTAGGGTTTTCTAATCCTATTTATATTCTCTTTGTAAACCAAGTGACTTGTAACGAGTGGCGATGAAGTGAATATAGTACAAACAAATTAGATGTAGCCTAAATTGGGTGAATCAAGTTATCAATTCTCTCTCTTTCTCTTTTCGTTTGTGATGTGTGTGATTGTCGATTTTCAACAATAATGAGGGTCTTGTACTTTCTTATCTTACCTTTCGGTACCATGAATTACGTTCAAAAGGCAAGGAATATAGTAAGAGAGGCACATCCTCTGACCCTCAAATTTTTTTCAAGAATTTACTTAAGACAAAGTTTAAATCACTGAATCAAGCAAACCCTTAGAAGCTACCCTTCGGGGTTTCTTTCCTTCACAAAATTAGGAGGATAGATATTGTGGATGAGAGAAAAGAAACATGTTATATATATTTGAATAATTTAAACACCCCACAATTCCACTTGTAAAAGTTATTTCTCTTTTATTGCCATTGAATTGTGTAACTTCAAAGAAATATACTGCTTTAAATTGAGAAATATACCCCTACCTCACAAACTAGAGTTTTGTGCCCAGGAGTTTATTTTATATTATAGACTGAGAAAACAATTACAATGAACTCAAACTCGCAGTTTTTAATAATACCACACATAAATTCTGTTGTCCCTATGCTTTAACATAGGAGTTTTTATCATTGAACAAACAAATATGCAATTCCAACATCCCTTCCCTGATTCTAACATCAGGAAATTAAATAAATAAATAAAAACCATCAATCTTCCCATGATAATAGAAGAAAGTCGAGGAGGAACTATGAAAAAATATTGGTGGTATTGGTAACCAATCATTCCTATATTTTCGCAAACTTTCTTATATAGCAACCGTTAGAATAAATATAGATGTATGATTCAGAGATGAATAAGTTACAAGAAATAAATAGGTTGAGAATTAGCAGGCAAAAAACCAAGCATTGGACGCAAAGGGCAACAGCTAAGTGCCAAAGAATGCCAGAGGATGAGAATTAGCCTTATCTATCGAATGCTGGAATACATAACACCAGTTGCAGACGCAAGAATTTTAATAAGAGGGGGCGAAAATAAAAAAAATATTATATCATAAATAAATATACTTGAAATACAATACAAATTTAATATACAAAAAATTGAAAGAAATCTATTACAGAAATTAATATCACTTTACTTGACTCTTGCTCTACGTGTTTTCATATTGTTAAATTCATCTATAATTGAATCCGTACTAAAACTCAAAACAATTTCTTTTTCAATGTATGTAATCAAAGAATCATCAAGAAATTGCTCTTCCATTCTATTTCGAAGCCTGGTCTTGATTATCTTCATAGCTGAGAAAGATCTTTCAGTGGTTGGTGTAGAAACTGGAAGAGTGAGTACAAGTCTAATCACTCTATCAATAAGAGGGTAAATGTTGGATTTTCCAGTTCTTGCTAGCCCTTGAAAGAAATCTATTACAGAAATTAATATCACTTTACTTGACTCTTGCTCTACGTGTTTTCATATTGTTAAATTCATCTATAATTGAATCCGTACTAAAACTCAAAACAATTTCTTTTTCAATGTATGTAATCAAAGAATCATCAAGAAATTGCTCTTCCATTCTATTTCGAAGCCTGGTCTTGATTATCTTCATAGCTGAGAAAGATCTTTCAGTGGTTGGTGTAGAAACTGGAAGAGTGAGTACAAGTCTAATCACTCTATCAATAAGAGGGTAAATGTTGGATTTTCCAGTTCTTGCTAGCCCTTGACATAATTCAGAAGTAGTTGATAAATTAATCAAATCTGGATGTTTAGGAATGTCAAGGTCAAAATGTTGTAACTCCATCTTCAAATGCAATTTTTCTTGTTCTGTGAAATCTCTAGAATAAAATTTATCAGCAAGTTTGCAAATATCATCACTATTAAATGACTTGTACTTGTTTCTTGGATCTAAAGTCCTGCTCAAAGTAAGTAATTCAACAGTATTATCATTGAACCTGATATTTAGTTCTTGTAATTGATAATCAATTGTAGCACAAAAGATATTTACCCTGTAAAATTTCTCAGTAGAAAAATCACCTTGTTCATTTCGAGCACAACCTCTCCTTCCAATATATTTTGCACTCATATCTGCAATGTCAATGCCATGTTTTCTGCAAAATTCTTGAACATGAACTAAGAAAGCATCCCAACCCGACTCTTAATTTTTGAAGTAACTCTATTGTAGTTGAAACTAAATGTAAAGCATTTGAAATATCTTGAGACTTTTTTTTTTTTTTTTTGTAATAAAGAGGGGCAAAAGCCCCAAACAAAACAAAAATTACACGACGCGAGAACTTAAAAGATCTACAGAAGCATCCTGAAGAAGGAGCTCTAACAAAGGAGAAGGAGGATAATGATAAACAATAAGATTATTATCATTCTCAAAATGCCTAGAAGCAAACCAGTGAGCACATCTGTTATTTTCTCGAAAGGTGTGTACCCAACGAACATCCCAATCTTCAGCAAGCCATTTGTGAATACGGGAAACAACCTGAGAGTTTCTGTGATTGTTGCTCCCTTCTTGGATAGTGCTAAGAGCAATTTCTGAGTCACATTCCAACTCCACTCTCCTAGCACCAGTACCCCAGGCCAGCTCTAAGCCTTTGAGGATACCCCAAAGTTCTGCATCAAGAGGATTACAGAAACCTAATCTGAAAGAGAAACCACCCAGAAAAGCACCATTGTGATCTCTAGCAAGGCCTCCACAGCTAGCATGTTATTTACCCTGTAAAATTTCTCAGTAGAAAAATCACCTTGTTCATTTCGAGCACAACCTCTCCTTCCAATATATTTTGCACTCATATCTGCAATGTCAATGCCATGTTTTCTGCAAAATTCTTGAACATGAACTAAGAAAGCATCCCAACCCGACTCTTAATTTCTAAAGTAACTCTTTTGTAGTTGAAACCAAATGTAAAACATTTGAAATATCTTGAGACTTTAGTTGCAAAGCTTGACAAAGGACTTCAGTAATACCCATAATTTCCTTCATAAGGTGCAATATGATGACAAAATCAAAAGATGTCAATGATGAGTATGCATTATCTGCATCTCCACGATGTGATGCTGTCTTTCCTTCATTAGAAATATTATCAAGAGCTTCACATGTGGCTTTAAACATTTGAAACAAACTGCATATCGAATTGTAATGAGAACTCCAACGAGTAGCTCCAACTCGATGCAAAGTACCAACCTGATTAAGACCAACTCCTCATTTGAGTTCATCAATAGCAATCATTCTTGCAATTTCCTTTGTTTGGGCAACCCTTAACTCATCATTACGCTTACAAGAAGAAGTAACAATATTAATTATGAAGTTCAAATTTTCAAAAAACTGATGAACATGTTTTACCTCATGAGATGCAGCAACCAAGGCAAGTTGAAGGCGATGAGCTAAACAATGGACATAATAAGCATATGGACACTCAGCGCAAATTAAAGCAATCCATTCCATTCACCTCGCATATTGCTAGCTCCACTTGTCCTCGAATATTTTGAACATCAAGATTATGGTGACGAAGAGAGTTACATAGTCCTTGTTTCAAAGTCTTAGCACGTGTATCTTCCACATGAACAAGACCAAAAAATCTTTCCCGTATAAAACCATCTTTATCTACGAATCTCAAAACAATAGCCATATGCTCTTTTTTAGATACATCACTAGTTTCATCAATAATAAGACAAAACTTGGCATTGGACATTTCTTCTCGTATTGTGTCCTTTACCTTTTGAGAGAAAACATGAAGAATTTCCTTTTGAATTCGAGGGGAACTATATGAAGCATTTTGAGGAGCTTTTTCTAAAACAACCAATGCAATTTCTTGATTATAGGAAGCTAAAAACTTTATCATCTCCAAAAAATTACCCCGATTAAGTGAATCTAAGTTTTTATCATGACCTCTAAAAGCACATCCTTGCAAAGCAAGCCATCTTGTCACGTCCATAGAAACTTGTAGTCTCAAACGATTACCTGCAATCTGCTGAGAAGTAAGTCTTTCAACCAATATCTCAATATGTTGAGATTGGTTCATAAGATCACTACATGATCTCACATCATTTTTATGCATTGAGATAATATTTTTTCTGACATGGCGCAGAAAAGCACAATTTTCTCCATCATTAACCTTTTTCCAACTTCTGAATTCCTCAACAACAAATGTACTAAGTCCAAAACGACCATTGCCACCTGGTTTACTAAATAAATAACAAGGCAAACAAAATGCAGCATCTTTAGTTGGAGAATACTCTAACCAAGATGGAAACAAATCAAACCAGGAAGAGCAAAAGTGACGTCGATTCTTCTCTAGCCCAGAGAAAGGATAATTTTGAAGCTTGCACTGAAATGGACCAAGTTTAAGATACGCACGACGAATTTCATCTTGTTGATTTATAGGAAATTTCCATATTGGAGGGCGTAGTGCAGGATCTCTTTCCAATGAAGCAAGATCATCTTCTTTAACCACTTCTTTATTTTCAATTCTAGGAGACTTTAGAGAAGGAGTCTCAATATTTGATAATTCAAAATTAGGAGTAGATGAGGACAAAGACTCACTATTCTTTCTCTTAAAATAAGTATCAATAGTAGCACTTTTCCCCATAATAATCACTACAAAGAAAATAGAAAATATACAGTTATGAATTATTTATGGTTTGCAATTTTGTATTGGAATAGATCATTCTAACAAGAAGCATGTGGAAATAGATCATTCTGGGAGGGACACATGAAAATCTAATTATTTAAATAATTAAAGGAAACATAAAGTCTCCAAATCTAATTATTTAAATAATAACCCTAATATGTAATGAGAATTAATAAAGGAAACATAAAAATATATCAACACTCTTTGATCCGTATTTTCACTTGTTGTTTCTTATAATGTTCCAACAAGAAGCTTTTCTCAGGTTTAGTACACATCAATATATGGATATTTTATATATCTATTGTGAACTTTTTGGCCACCTAAATCCAACGGTAGATCTAAAGCTTTGAATTCAAGTCACGGCATAAACAAATATGATCATGTAATATAGGAAGGAGTGCACAATGAAAATGGAAATAATGTTCAGATAGAAAAGTTGAAAACTGGAAAAGGCGAGCATGTGATTCTCTTACCTCCTTTGGGGACAGAGTTAAGTCATCTGTTGAATAGTATTCCACCTTCTCCAATCTCCAACAGTCGTTCCTCTCTTCTTCAAAATGGGGCTGTTTTTGTCTTGTTATATACTATATATGCTGCCTGCAAGAGATGGAAAAACTCGTGAAGTCAGGAAAATGATGATGGAAATGGGAATTAAGAGAAACCCATTTTATATTACCAAAAAGAGAAGAAGAGAAACCCATTTTATATTATCAAAAAAAAAAAACCCCATTTTCGTTACTTTCCTGGTTGCCGTTGGTGATGGACGGAACGGAACACGGAAAGAAGGATGTTCTCAAGGATGAACTGGTTGCCTCTTGCCTGCGCTGGTTGGTTGCTGTTCTGAGAGTCTGCAAGAGTGTAGGCTGTAGGCAGAACTTAGAAGCATGGGGAACTGATTACTGAAGGCAAAAACGTGTATAACACGGTAGATAGTTTCAGCATCACATTTTTTTACACATATTATAATTTTTTTTAATTTTAGGGGGGGCGGGAGCCCACCTTAGCCCCCTAGTGGGTCCGCCCCTGCATAACACAAACACTTGGTAATGCTTTATGTCTTCTAGTGTATCATAATGGGGGCGAAGGGGAATGTAACATTGGAATATAAAGGGTAGTGAGGTATGATGTGTAGTGTCCAATTTGCAATTTTGGATATATATATATATATATATATATATATATATATATATGAGGTAGGATCCTTTGACACCAGTGTCAAATTTCAAATTTGACATCTCATCTGATAGCCATTAGATCAAAAAAGATCAATGGTGTCACATGCTTACAAATCAGAGCCATTGATATAGGGACAAGATCATTTTTTTTAATACATAGGGACAAATATTATTTTGAGAAAAGTGTGTATCATTTTAAAGGACACAAAGTTGTGTCATTTTAAGTGAGAGAAATAGATAAATCATGGAAGAGAGAGTGGGGGAAAAAAAGTTTTAAAGATGTGGGTCCCACTTCTTTGTGAGAATGAAATGATGTAAGATGTGTCATTTAAAATGACACATTTTTCCCCTATTATTTTATTTATTTTTTTACTTGTTGAATGTTTAACAGGCTTAAACACTTAAACAGGCTTAGGCCAATATTTTTATTTTTTAAATATAGATCAGGCTAGACTTGTAATTTGGGACCTGCACAGGCTAATAGGCTAGGCTAGACACAATATTTTTTATATAAGCTTGGCCTATTTAAGTCAAAGCCTAATCTAGCCTAGCCTATTTACACCTCTACCTACACGATATAGAGATCACCATCATTCAATATCAAGTGATTATTTAAGTATCATCCCACTCATTCTTTAACCTGGTGATTTCTTGTGTGAAAAGAACAGGATAAAAATTCTGAGAATGGATCATCTCATGGGTTATTTAACTATGTGAAATATCCATCTACAATTTTTTTTTACAAATTACACTAAGTATGACCGGTCATACACTCCTAATTGAAGTATGACCGGTCATATTTAATGTAGTTTGTAAACAAAAAGTTCATAAATATAATTTTCTCCTTAACTCTTATGTTATGTGAGAGAGTTTTAATTATTTATTGATAGGTCAAGTTATTTATTTTATTTTATTTTCCCATTCTCTATCCTAATATTTTTTTCATCTCAAAATCTCATCACTGGTTAATTTGTTCACGAATGCCTAATATCCTTTTACATGAACTGATAATGTTAAATTATATTCATTCCCAAAAACATATTAACAATCTCATTTTTGTGCATTTTATAAATGGAAAAAGTATTTCTTCAGAGTAATTGGATATAAAGTTATCTTCTGTGAGTCTAAAATGATGTCATTTTGAATTGTAAGATTAAAAAATTATAATGATAAAGACTAATATAACCCTGCAATAAATTAGAATTATAAAAATGTCATAATTTCTACCTCAAAACGATATCATGTTAGGCTTATCAAAAATAATTTATCTCCATTTATCAGAAAAATCTTTACCCTACACAACAGCACAACATTATGCGAGTCAATATACATGGCCAATACCTCATTAACGTAAACCCCCATGATTAGAAAACGACAAGACAAAAAGGAAAGCTGAAAAGGAAAATAAAGCCAAATTGTGAACACTATCGAGATGAGCCTATATAAAAAAAGAGCAATTATCTAACAACCATTTGAAGCTTTGAACTGCTTTTCTCGCTTTGTACCTATTATCATTTCATTGTCGGGTATATATATATATATATATATATATATATATATATATATATATATATATATATATATATATATATATATATAAAACAGGATTTTTTATATCAGTAGCAAATTTAAAATTTAATATCTCATTTGAGAGTCGTTAGATCAAAAAAGATCAACGACTCTGATTTATAAGCATGTGACACCATTAATTTTTTTATCTAACAGCTCTCAGACGAAGTGCAAAATTTTAACTTTGACACCGGTGTCAAAGGATGTTGTATATATATATATATATATATATATATATATATATATATATATATATTAAAATTATTTATGATTATGATTCTTTACATTAATGTTTTCATCTTTTGTATGGTTATGATTTTCCACATTTAATGCTTTCACGTATATATATGGCAAATATTTGATTGCTGCACGTACAACAGCTACATAAATGTAAACCCTTATATGTGTTTATCGTTTCTCAAATTGCTTGAGATAACTTTATCTTCGACTACTAAATCATAACCGTATAAAATTGGATCAATGGTTATAAAGGAAGAGAGATAAAAAGGGAATCGTAACCATTCATAGGTGAATAAATTAATATAAGGAAATAAATAACCCAAACAACGTAATTTTTGGATGGACGAAAATAAATATATCTCAAGTTGTTTAAGAAATATATATAGTAAAATCATTTCTGCCGCGACTTTACGCACAGCAACGACATGTGTATGGTTATGATTCCCCACATTTAATGTTTTCATCCTTTGTATAGTTATGATTCCCCGCATTTAATGCTTTCAAGTATACATATGGCAAGTATTTGATTGCTACACGTACAACAGCTGCAGAAATGTAATCCCCAATATATATATATATATAAGAGGCAGGATATTCTTACACCGGTGTAAGAGTTAGAAGTCTTACACTCAATCTTGATCATTGATCCACTTGTATCCAATGGCTCACATTACTCAAAAATTAGAGCCCTTAGATATAAGTGGGGTTAACGAACAAGATTGAAAATGTAACTTACACTAGTGTTATTTCACTATTGATTCAATATATCAAACATGTATTGGCAAAATATTTGTTAGTTACATTCTAGATTGTGCAAGAAGCAAGTGGCCATGATGCATGAAGACATTGATCCAAACTCAGGAGATTCGTGTGTCTACCTACTATTTTATGATTGAGACAAGAATAATGTCATCAAATTATGGAATTAAAAGGGCATAAACTTAGGAAGAGTTTATGTAAATACCTCAAGTAATTTACTGTGGCATTCATTCATCTGGTACATTGGGTAGTAAACGAGATAAAAGCTCTTGTTGCCTTGTCCTGTGAAATTTTTTTACCCATGAATGCATTTTTTGCTTTTCATTTTCCTCAATTCAGACCACCTTTGATATCTCTCAAACTTATAAAATTTCCCATAGTAGAATGCCATTATATCCCCATTGTCTTATTGCCAATAAATCTTTTCACTTTAACAAGATTCTTCCCAAATATATACAAGCCAAGGCTGAAACTGGCCTCTTCTATTTCATTCCAGGTGTCAGTTGAAGACCCAGGAACCAGACAGTGGCCTTTGCATTTATTCTTATGCACCCCAATCTTTGTTTCTTATTGCACACTGCAATTTCAAGATACCCACAATTTTGTTCCATTGACCAATGTAATGTCAATGTCCTCGGGTTCTGGATTCAATTTATCATGGCCAGGACTATTCAGGATGCATTTTATTTTTGAAAATTCACTTTTTTTGGTAAATCCAATTGACTCGCATGCATGTTTCAGTGGACCATGCTTATTGTCCTCTACTTCATCCTTGATCCAAATTATACGAATTTGTAATCCTAATTGAGACTCATTGAAGGTACATGTTCTTTCTGCATCATGTGGCTTCTTTTGAAACCAAGAACAGTCAGATTCTGACATTAAAGGTGGAATTTCAGCCTGGTACTGCTCACCCACCTTAGGAAATATGTTTGGATCACCAAAATCATCATAAACGTCAGAACAATACGGAGAAAATGCTTGCTCCTCAAAGCCATTAACTGGAACTGAAACCACCTGTCAATAAATAAAAAAATAAATTTAATGCAAACATTGGAAAAATATACTTCGTGTAATGAACTGACACCAAAATCTGAGGACACCTTGTGGTCTTTTCATTAAAATAAATAAAAGTATTTTCATTAAAATAAATAAAAAATTCCAAAAGCATTTAGGATAATGGAACAAATCTTTGGTGCTATTGATGTACTCAAG